CTGTTTCTCTGTTGCTAAAGTCTCTTGCCAAAAACATGGACTGCAACTGGTCTGCTCGAAACGTCGAACCTTGAATTGCTGGTTTATGTTATAAGGATTCAAATGCTCCACTTTTCTGATTTAGGAAATTTAATGATTGATGAAATAATTCATTGAAATTGTGTAGTACTGTATTAAAGTGAGTCGGCCTAAGGTAGGTAGGCCTTTCAGTGATCGTCTAGTGACACATAGAGAATAATTATTCATGATGTTTCCCTCGTGCACTCACACAGATAAACAGCAATGATGTTCAAATTTTAGCACTTATCATAATGATGTAGTTTATATGAAGACGTCAATATTGATCTTGAATATGGTAATCCTCAGGATTATCATTTGGCTCCTGGCTTTGATCATCATAGTTTTCAGCCGAAAGTTTTCCTGTTAATTATTTATGATCACGAGAGAATGCTGATTGTGATTGTGAATATGGTTTCGACTATTGTCGTTTAACTGATGATTCTTCATGGTATTCATCGTCATTAACAGAGTAGTGAATAAAGTAAGCAGGTCGATTGTGATCGTTATGATCTTTATTTTTACTTGGTTTATCATGGTTGTTAACCTCCTCCTATCGATTGTTAGGTGGAGCATACTCACGAAACGAAAGACAATCACGATAGTGAGTATAATAGGAAAATGATGGAAATGAATATCCGACGTTACAGATGCTGATACCTGATATAAGCGGCCAAAATGTATCATGTAGAGAAGAAAGATTTTGTTACTTTGCTCCATCAGTGCGGTAGTGTAAGGCAGACTGAAGTCCTACACCGGATGGTGCCGCAATAGTACATCGCCCCCTTGCTTCTAGTCGCCTATGGAGAGCATTTAGGCACGTCACAGCTCAGTGGTGTTTAAGTGCCTGTAGTACATAGGACGCGTAATGGAAAATGCACTTAAAATTGGACGATTCAACGCGCTGCTTAAATTTTATTTCTAAATTTGATTTTTTAATTTAGTCCCTAAGCCGGGATACGGATTGACCCCGAAAGCAGCGACGTTGCCAACAACCAACTTTAGTAGTTACTACGTAAGATTGCCACATCAATGATGTGGTTACGTTGCTAATATTTACTTTTTATATACGGCTTCTATTTTATAGGATTTCGTCGACTTCAATACGACGCTGACGTCTGAATATTCAGAACGTAACTGTTTTCCTATTGTTTGACCGTTGTTTATGTAATGCATAATAATTTTTCGTTTTGCAGGCTCTGGCGTTACCTCCCCGACTTTTAGCTATTACGAACGGTACCAGCCAGCGTACGAACCATGCGTCCTTCGCAGTTCTTTGCCAGACATGAGCAAACCTCTTCAGGTATTTTTTCATTCACACAGCTGATCCGATCATTTTGTTTCCCTTGCTCTGTCGTCTCTTCGTTCACCTACTGTTTTCAGACGTACACATATTCGCAGCTGACGATCGACAATAAAAAGCTACCCGATGATGTCGACCGATGCCATCTCGAAGTTAGTGATGAGTTTGTTTGCTTTAATATGTAGCCTAAATGAGTCTGTACGGAAGAGCTAAGGAATACTGTAACTATTATTCCGTCCAGTTATCTCTAGCGTCGTCGAAGGAAGATCTGTTCCATGTGGGGCAAGTACCGTCCTCTGTTCAGAAAAATCACGAAATATATACGCCGGGATGGGTAACATTATTTTGAAGGTTGTCGTGAAGGATAATTTTTTTCTCTCCGCTATTCGATTCTACCGTTAGCATTTTGCCTGCCTTTTGTCCGGGATACCGCAGTCCTTTCGTCTTGGCTTGTAATCGACGAGTAGTTCTTCTAGAAATATCTGCCTCACAGTTGAAGGAAGATATTTCCGCCCACGAATTTCGTTGCCTCGTGTTCATGTCATGTCTTAACGGCGAGTGAAAATGCCATTCATCACATTGCCTCTTCCCTACGTTCCTCTGTTCTTGTCGTTGGTGGCTTTCCACCACCTAAACCGGAGGCTCTGTTTATGCGTAAGGTCAAGCATCACGAAGTCTCATTCACAACAGTTTGCTGGTGAATAAAAAAATTGTACCTGAAGGTCGTTGCCCGAAACGGTGCATTGTGTCATTCTTTCATTCAACGAAGCTTTGTTTTATGACAGATTTTTTTGTATTCATATGCACGTCCCGTTCATTCGTATTCTTACGTCTGGGAACGATTTTTGAGACATACTATTTTTAATATGCACCCCTAGACAATCGATGGCATTTGTACTTGTTTGTTTTTAAATGTCCTTGTCCTCTGTATTGAAAAAAAACAGTGCTATCGTAGCCGCTGTAGCCCGATGGTTTTTGGAATGTACTTCCTGTCATTTTTGCTGTCCGATGATAGTGACGAGAATAAGTATATAATTTCAACCTCATCAGACTGGATTTCACTGCGTTACGATACCTTCCCATTCTCCTATATCCATGAAGTGTCGTTTGAGCATGCTGTGATTACATGGTACTTCAGCATTCGCAATTTGGGTAAAATGTTTTGCAACTCGTTATTGATTTGTACAATAAATCTTTAAGTAACATTCCTTTGCTCGAGTCAGTCGAAAGATGTAACGCATTTTTCATTGTAATTACAGAAGTACCATGGATCTGTGGATCTGTAGTCTGGTGTAATGGTGTCTTACGCAGTTGGGCTAATTGGCGATACCAATATCAATTTGATAGTCTATTTCTTTCATTTCCCCGAATTCACACAGCATAGCCGGACGTACTTCTCTGCTACTAAGCCATAAGCGATCGTTTGAACGGACCACGGCTCCATGGATTTTAGCACCCGCAGTGCATGGAGCAAAACAGCACGACAACTTTTATGGGTCGAACAAAAACATGTTTGAACTCTAATGAATGTACTGCGAGCCATGGGCTATATAGCAAAAATTTTATAAGTCTAAATTTGATCATTATTTTTTATTGATCGCTGTGGTTATACATGTTCATATATGTACGTATAAGGCGAGGAAACGTGACTCCTGAGCTGTTGCTTTCTCTAGCTGTAGTCATGCACGAGCTTTAACTTGAACTTTCTAACAATATGTGCTTTCAGCGCCATCTCAGCCGAACCGAATTTGAAAGTCTGTTTGGCATGACCCCGATCGAGTTTTATAAACTACCAGATTGGAAGCGAATCAACATAAAACGAAAGATGAAACTATTCTAAGTATAATTAATGTTTTTTCCGGCGTCTCCACGATCGATCAACCGATCAGTCGGTGGGAACACTGCTGCCGTAGCACTTGCCGCCGCTGCCGCCGAACTCGCTTTTTCGTCCTGTGTATTTTGTTTGGCGGCGATTGTCGTTTTCTCATTCCTCGCCGCTTTTCTCATCACCTTACTGTGGCTGATATTGTTATTATTAATTATAATAATCGCGTAACGCTGCATTGTTCCTAGTCCGATGTATCTGGTGCGATTTCGCGGCGTTGCCAACTGCTCTATGCTTTCTGATGGTCGTCGTACGCGAATGCAGTTTTGTTGTTTGTATTTAATTGTGGTGTATTTTGCGTACTGCCACTTTTGTTTTGAGATAATGGCATGATAAGTATTGCGTTAGCTTCTTTTGTTGCTCTTCTGCTTTGTTTGCATCTGTTGTTGCCGATCGATTTTAGGCTGAATTTTAGTTTTTCTGTTTTATTGCTTTTCAGAATCGCCAACAGATTTTTTGGATGCATAAAAATTACCCAAAAAATCTTATTTGTATTTTGATTTCTATCGTATTTGCTATTGCGTTAGTCTAACTTCAT